GCCTCAGCCTCCCGAGTGCTGGGATTACAGGCGTGCGCCACCTTGCCCAGCCATGCCCAGCTTTTAAAAGAAGTTATTATCTTAATGTACTGTCAAAATGAGTAGGTAAAGGAAATGTGATTATCTGTACGTTCAAGTCTGGGAAGTTAAGATGATGTGTGCAAGATCACGCATAACTACCTTTTCTAGCCACTAAACCAAGAGAACCTGAGCTCAAGTTCTGCTCTTCAATCTAGCCCTGCGGGCCCTTTTTGGTTTGAATTTTTTTTCTTTGCTTTTTTGTTTTGTTTTGTTTTTTTGGCACCAGGAATCAAACTCACAACCTCAGGCTTGCTAGGCAGGCGCTGTGCCGCTGAGCTACATCCCCAGCACCTATTCTTTGTCTTTTTGAGACAGGGTCTCGCTATGTAGTTCAGGCTGGCCTTGAGCTCACTTTGTAGCCCAAGCTGGTCTCGAACTTGCAACAATGCTCCTGCCTCAGCCTCCCAAGTGCTGGGATTACAGGCGTGTGCCACCACACCCAGATTTTTTTTTACTTTTTTTTTTTTTTTTTTTTTACTTCCACCCTTGACTGTTTACAGACCATATTTTGGTAAAATGCCCCTTGTTTTAGGGACAACTACTTAGCAATAAACTGCCCATTATGTTTGTATTTTGTAACACTGGGGGTGTGACCCAGGGCCTTGTGCTTGTTCTGCCACGGAACCACATCCTTGGTCTTCCTTTTTCTTTTTCTTTCTGAGACAGGATCTTCCTAAGATGCCCAAGTGGGGCTCAAAATGGCAATCCTCCTGCCTCAGACTCCCCAGCAGCAGGCATACGCCACCATGCCCAGCTAATTTTTAAGCTATCACCTAGTTCTAGAGATGTCAAAATGTGGGAAAATGTGCATCTCAGAATCAGTAAATACTGCCAGGCATGGTGGTGCACACTTGTAATCCCAGAACTCAGCAGGCTGAGGCAGGAGGATAGCCATGAGTTTGAGGCCAGTCTGAACTACACAGTGAGACCCTGTCTCAAAAAAAAAAAAATCGGGCACACAGTTTCCTAGAACCGCATCTAAAAAAAAAAAAAAATCAATAAATAAAGTATCTTTTAAAACATTTATTGTAAGTCCAATGCTATTTAATAAAGTCATTAAAATTTTTGCTTCTCTACCCTAACACACACAATTAGGCTACGGCACAGGGTGGAGCCGTGGTCCCCTCTTCCCACAGCTTCGAAGCAGCACCACGCAGCCCCAGGGAGGGGCCCAGGGAGTGGTGTGAAAACCAGTCCTGTGTCATGCTGTGTCACGCACTGAGCTGCATGACTCTGCACCGGCGCTTTAGTGCAGAGTAACTGCAGTCCAGCCAGCGCTGAGCTCCCAGTTCTGTATTTGAACTAAGCTTTTCCACCTCTCGGAGACCAGTATCTGCCATACACAGTGATAAATCATGATGTTAAGATTTTTGTTTGTTTTGGGGCCGGGGATCTAGTTCAGCAGCACAGCGCCTGCCCAGCAAGTGCAAGGTCCTGAGTTCGATTGCCGGTCCCAAAACAGATCTTTGCTTGTTTTGAGACAGGGTCTCCCCATGTAGTCCAGGCTGCCTTTGAACTAGTAATGTAGCCTGGGCTGGCCTCAAACTCATGGCGATCCTTCCGCCTCAGCCTTCTAAGTGCTGGGATTACAGGTGTGTGCCACTGCGCTGGTCTTAGGAATCTTACGATTTTTTTTTTGTACTGGTTATTGAACTCAGGACCTTGCACTTGGCAGGCATCGCTTTTGCCACTGAGCTATATCCCCGGCCCAGGAATCTTATGATTAAATAAAACGTTAGTTTTACACCACTGTAAGCCCCACTGGCTCGCTATTCATCATTTGTTCCTCTGTTCCCCTGCTTGCTTTCTTACCGTCGGTGGACGACTGAAATGCAGTTTCTCCCGAGCTTCGTGGGACAGAGACACGTCCCTGAGACTCCAATAGTCCAGGTCCGCTGGCAGCTGGAGAGCCTCATCTCGCTGAACTTCCTTTATTTCTTGTAGCTGACAGAGCAATATGGATTCGTAAGAGGCTGGGGAATAAAAGATTTTTTTTTGTCATTTGTCTTTGTCGTTTTGTTTTACTATGCAGTTCAGGCTGGCCTTGAACTCACTTTGTACCCAGGCTGGCCTTGAACTCGCAGCGATCCTCCTGCCTCAGCCTCCCAAGTGCTGTGTGCCACCATGCCTGGCCAAGAATTAATAGGCAGACCAGGTTACACTAGCAACTATACTTGCACAGCATTTCACTTGCACTGTGTACAGAGAGTTTTGCCTCAGTCATGACATGGTGGCGCACACCTGTAATCCCAGCACTTGGGAGGCTGAGGCAGGAGGATCACTGCAAGTTTGACCCCAGCCTGGGCTACAAAGTGTGTTCAAGGCCAGGCTTTTCTGAGCTTTAAGTAGCGTGTGCATCTGCTGATCAGCAGCCAGATAGTCTCATCCCCGACTGCGGGTCTGCCAGTGAACTACCCCAGTGAGGGCTCCCATCTTCGCCCCAGGCCTTGGCTTCTTTATGGAGAGGCTGCAGGTCCAGCATGGACGGCATCCATGGTCACAGGCTGCAACGGACAACTTTGTAGTACACAGGCTCTGCGGTCAGACTATGGAGGTCCAAATCCCAGCTCTATCACTCACCAGCTGCAGGGTCTTCAGTAAATCACTGCTCTCTTATGAAGTTAGGGCAAAATGCTACAGTCTATCCTTCACAGGGGGGCTTAAGTATCAACTAAAGCAATACACAAAAGGCACAGCAGGATACTGTAACACAGTAGCACAGCAAACTATCACCTTATGACTAAGAACAGACTCTGGGGTCTCATGGACTATCTGGCCTAGGCTGTATGAAACTTCTCCCACATCATCCTGCCCGTGTCTTTCTTGTTACATGATTTTTCTGTCCAAGAGAAACATTCTATCAAGTTTTGCAGCAGCCAGCTGGGTGTAGTAGCCAATTTTTTTTTTTTTGAGATGGTCTCGCTATGCAGTTCTGGCTGGCTTTGAACTCACTATGTAGCTCAGGCTGCCCTCAACTCAGTGAGCCTCCTGCCTCAGCCTCCCAAGTGCTGGAAGTACAGCCGTGTGCCACCACGCCTGGCTAATAGCCAATCTCATTCCCAGTATTCTTCTGTTTGAAACTCTTCATAATAAAAAACTTGAAAGATCAGTGTAAGAGAAAACAAAGACAAAT